CTTGACTCAGTAAATTCTCACAAGTGGAAGGCTAAGTTATGAATGTAGCTACTAATAGCCACCAATTTCATGTCAAAGGTAATAAGAGAGTATAAGGATGGCATTGATCATACATTTATAATTTCGGCCACATAGTTGTTATTATTATGGTCGGTCATGTTTTAGGGATGCATGGATGTTATTTTTGTAACCCCAAGATGTGTGTAATTGTAATATCTAATGATATGAGTTGCATGCCCAGTCATATCGTTATTGTTGTTATGGCCAAGGCTAGATTTACTATATGTGTATGATATTCGAATCTATTATCATTTGCATCCATTTTTAATTGATATGCAACTATATAGGTTAGGTTAATATTGGTTATTGAGTGGTTGTACTCATCCCTTATCCTTCAATATTTTTAAGGCTTAGTTCATTTGACTAAGATTGAGGAAAACAACTAAAGGCCTAAGACTGAGTAAAAATTGTACTAATAGGCCTAGTTCACCTCAAATGGACCACACATAACATATCAAGCTAATAATATCACCTAAATAACCTTTCACATGCAAAATGACCATCAAAATACTAATTCTCAACAATGCAATAGACTGGATCAAATTCAACATAATAGTCATTTTACTCTTTTCAACACACAAACATCTCAATCACATCACTTGTATTAGTATCTTGGCCTCTCACTCACATTTGTTTACAAACACTACAAACTTAGGCAGAGATACGTACACATCTAATAAATTCTCACACAAGTGATAACAAAATTATGAAATGTTCCTAAGTTGGCATAATATAATGGTATATTTATTATAAAACCAAAATGACAAGGAGAAGAGCTATACAAATGAACTTTTCACTCTCTGGTTGCCCCTTCCTTCCCTTTGCTCTTACCAGAGCCCTCACTTGTAAAAATATAATCACGGGGTGAGATAAATATCTCGATAATAGAATAATTGATATGACCCTAAGTCACTTTAGGCCATCAAATAAAACAAGAATGTAGTTATGAGCATTCTAGGTCATCTCCCAAGAAAGCAATGCACACAAATTAGGGTTCAATTGCCTACAAATTAAAAGAGTGGTTATATGATTTTGCTACTATCTAAATTGTTAAGAATTTGTTTATAATTTTTTGATTTGAATATGTTGATGTAAATGAATGAGATGATGAGCTCAAGCTAGAATCCCCCACGATAATCCTTGAATTCTAGATTTCCAACCACACATGTAATGACAATTAACTTAATGAAAAATACTCTAAAACCTTTAAAGTGTTGTGAAACATTGCATCCAATGATCACTATAAATCTAAGCCAAGTAGAATGAAATTAACAATGTAATTTAGCCTTGTTCTTAGCCAATCAATTCAGACTAAATTGAGTGGCAGAAAAACTTCTCAAACCAAATTCATATAAACACATACAGATCTAGCTTGAAATATGAATAAATCTGAACAAGAATATCAAGAACATATGAACACATTCAAGAACACTCAAATGAATTCATAAATTTCTAAACTGAAACACAATATAAAATCTCAATCCAACATCCACAACTTCGATCTAACATGTAATTGGAATCAAAATCATAATCTAACATGAACTAGCATTTCGAATCCTTAAAGAAAATAGAAGAAATTGCAGAATTAAAATTACACGTTAAGAATCTAAAATACTCAAATCATAGGTTCATCTTTCTTGAAGCTCAAAGGAGAGTCAACCACTCATGCTCTTCCTCTTTACTTGAATTAGAACTTGAGAAGCCTCTATATATGTATGAAGATGAAGATGAAATCTGGAAATGGATGTGTGCTGGACGAATTTATAGAGAGGAGGATATAATTGATGAAAATTTAGAGGAGAATGGATGAAAAACTGAACGTGATTGAAGGAAGAAGGAGAAGAAATGATCTTGACAGTGAGAGGATGAGAAAATGGCATGAAACTGATCAAGAAGATGATAGAACTGGATATGGAAAAATGGAGAGAGAATATGAACAAAAATTGAGAGGAAAATATGGCTGAAGAGAGAGAGTGGTGAGGCTCTAATTTGAAAACTAAGCTTATGTATGTGTGAATAATGTGAAGGTGATAAAACCAAAGTAAATGGTGATAAAAATAAGAAAAGTCCAGATCTGAAGTTGGTTAATTTCTAGCTGAAAATGGAATTAATTTGGCTAAAATTCATACTGAATTTGGCACCTCATGAACTGATTGAATGAGCATGGAAAATGTGACATGATGCATGAGCAAAAACGTGACTCTCTCAGCTGGCTCATTTCCATGTGAATTTTCATGCATTTCATAAATGATTCACACCTAAATTGCTTCTTTCTTACATCATGATGATGTCATCTTAATATTTCCCTTGGATCAGCTTCAATGCATGCTTAAATTGCTCTCATTTCTCATGATGATGTCATGCAGTGAATTCTTGGATTACCTTTAATACCTTATGCATATATACTCTTGACTTGCCCATTATTTATTTAATTTCCTCAATGAATTTTTAAAATTAGGCTTGCCAACTCAACATTAATTAAATCTGGAAATGACACCATTCAGCCCTTTCATGCGCTCTTGACTTCTCCAAAATTATTGACCAAGTCTTTGCTCCTTGATTCCAAAATTGCCCTCACAAATTTGAAAATAAAAACACAAAACTAAATAAATTCTAAAAAGAAAATTAAAAAAGAAGAAAATGAGAATTTAGCCCAAAAATCCAATCAAGCATCTTAAAGTCTCAAAACAACCACTAAACAGCATTATTAGGGTTTATGAAGTCAATGTGTGAAATATAGCTAAAAATCGGGGAACAAACCCTAATATGTACTATTTGGTGCCAAAAACTAAATGTATAACATGTAAAATATGAAATAGATCAATTCCCCTACACTTGGATTTTGCTCTTCGAGCAAAAACTCTCTAAAAACCTAGATAAGAAAACAACACAAAGATACAAGCTTTCAAGAGTAAATCCAATTTTCGAAATCAATGCACTATCACAAGAACCAAATTAATGTTGCAATCTTTAGAGAAAACCAAATCAATGTAATCTCAAAGAGAAACCTCATCAGATTAGTGTTTCACTCAAGTACTCGGTGTATAAGGCTACAATTATCACTCAAGTTTCTTAGCAAGTCATCCTACCATAAGCTTGTAATCCCTTTATCTCTCTACTACTAACATGCAAGGGTTCTCAAGAATCATATGGACTTTTAAAGGATGTAATGTGCTCAATTAAGGGTAAACTTAGATTTGTATATGGAAAGGGGTAAGAATTGGCTCAAGAAACTTGTCTTAGCCACAATATAGGTATGCTTAATATACAAGACTACTCAAAACTAAACCAAATAGATAACATAAGAGAGATCATGGATGGAATGACTAAATAGCCAAGAATGAGATGAAATGAGAATCTACAAATAAGAACAAGTGAATCTAATAGCAAACCTAAGGAAACTTGTTTATTCAAACTCTTTCTTTTACTTTTCTTTGATCCACTTTGGATCTCTTTTTCTTAAATATATTTCTTTTTTTCCTACAATCTTTTTTCTTTCTTTTCTTTTGTATCATTTCTTTCTTTATTTTGTTTTTCTCTTGCTGTTTCTTAATTTTGTTTTTTTTTTCATTTTTTTAGTTTTTTTAAGCATAGCTTCTAATATTTGGGTGCAACTCAAGAAATGTTCCTTAATCATAAGAATGAAATGGTATGGCTAATGTGAATGAATGAAATAGATCCCAATAAATGTTATCTACGTTTAATTAAAAATAGTCAGTGCATATTGAAAGTACCAAATGAGAATACATGTAATCTATTCAAAATAGGGTTAAGTGTTTAAAAATGACAAAACAAAAGAAGGCTTTATTTGGCTAAGCAAGGGATAATCAAGTAATTAAGGATCAGCTAAAAGGCCTTAGGCACTTTAATGATGGCCATAATCACTTTCCCTACAACCAATGCACAAGTGTAGCCTCAAGTAAGAGAGAAAATAAGTTCTAGAGGATTAACAAAACCAAGGAACATAGAACTCTCAATAGTTGAAGGCCTCTTTCATATGGTTTATTCTTGCCTCTCTCAATTAATTACACTCAACCAAATAGTTTCTTGCTTCAAAACAAATTTAAACTAAAGAAAACAACATATCAAGAGTTTAAATTCAAATGCAAACACTAAGATCATCTTCAAAACTCAAGATTGCTCACAAAACAAAAGTTCTTTTTTCCTAAAAACACCCTTTCCCCCACACTTAAACAATGCATTGTCCCTAATGTATGCAAAACACATAATGGAAAGAATTAAATCAAATCTATACAGCATGTAAAAGTGTGAGAAAAGGTCAATTTTTTTCTTCAAAAACATCACTAAACAGCAAAGGAAACAAAGGAAAACAAAGAAACAACAAAAACTAACATGGAAGGATAAAGAAAAAGAAAAATTTTAAAATTTATTATTTTTTTAAACCTAATGAATCAGCAAGCATCTGCCCCCACACTTGAACACAAAATGATATTTGCAAACACAAACACAAGCAAAGAATGGTGTACCACATGTCTGTATATGTGACAGCAAGCATATCCCAATTAGTGCTCCACTTATGTGCTTTGTGAACCAATCAAATCAATCAAAAAGAAATAAGAAGGAGAGATATAACCTTTAAAGACTTATGGAGGATCTTTGAATCTCATTTCAGTAAGCAATATAAAAGATTCACCCTCATGAAACTTCTTGCACAAGTGGCCATTTACCTTGAATGTTAAGCCACTTTGAAGATCTTTAAGGGTGAAAGTGCTATAGTTAAAAATTTCCTTCAAAATGTAAGGGCCCTCCTATTTGGATTGAAGTTTGCCACCAATGAGCTTGAGCCTTGTCTTGAACTTTAGCACTTTATCTCCCACTTGAAAATGCTTCCTCAAAATACATTTATCATGAATGAATTTTGCTCTTTCCTTGTACAATTTAGAGCTCTCATATGCTTTTAATCTCAACTCCTTCAATTCTTAGAGTTGGAGCTTCCTAAAGGTAGCTACACCCTCCTCACCAAATGCACAAGCCTTCACAGCCCAATAGGCTTTGTGCTTAATCTCCACTGGGAGGTGACATTGCTTACCATAGACCAACCTAAATGGAGATATCCCAATGGGTGTCTTGAAGGTGGTTTGGTATGCCCAAAGAGCCTCCTCAAGTCTTGAGCTCCAATCCTTCCTATTCGGTCTCACAATCTTTTGGAGGATAGACTTGATCTCCGTATTTAAACACTCAGCCAACCCATTTGTTTGAGGATGATATGGGGTTGCCACCATATGTAGAACACCATATTTCTAAAGCAAAGAGGAGATAGTATTATTGTAAAAGTGTGTCCCTTGGTCTGTGATAATTGCTCTTGGGATGCCAAACTTGTAAAACACCTGAGATAAAAGAAATTTTGCCATAACTTTTGCATCATTAGTTCTAGTGGGGATAGCCTCAACCTACTTAGAAACAAAATCAATACAGAGCAATATATATTCACAACCATTAGAAGAGGGAAAAGGACCCATGAAATTCATACCCCAAACATCAAAGATCTCACAAAATATAATGGGCACCTGTGGCATTTCATGTCTCTTTCCTAAACTCCCAAAATGTTGACATGCATGACATGCTTTGCAAAATTGATGTGCATCTTTAAAAAGAGATGGCTAATATAAACTACAATCTAAGACTTTTTGCTCGGTCCTCCTAACCCCAAAATGACCACCACATGCATAAGTATGACACATCTTTAACACATCATTAATCTCAACATCAGGAATACATCTCCTAATGACACCATCACTACATAATCTCCAAAGAGTAGGCGAATCCTAAATATAGTATCTACTTTCCCTAGCAAGCTTCTCCCTAGCATGTCTAGTAATCCCATTTGGAAACACATTATGCACCAATAAATTAACCAAATCAGAATACCAAACAACATTATGGGAAGAAATAGCACATAAAGACTCATCCCTAAACTCATCACAAGGAAAATCAAAAGAAAAATTCACCATAATGGAGTCATAATGGAGTAATCTGCCACATGATTTGCTGCTCCACTCCTATCAATGATCTCTAAATTGAACTCTTGAAGTAGAAGCATCCATCTAAGCAAACGTGGCTTGGTGTTCTTCTTCTTTAAAAGATACTTCAAGGCCGCATGATCTATAAAACAAACAACCTTGGAATGCAACAAGTAAGATCTAAACTTATCAAGAGCAAACACTAATGCATACAATTCTTTTTTAGTTGTGGTGTAATTGCATTGTGCTTTGTCTAAAGTCCTAGATGCATATGCAATGACATAAGGTAGCTTATTTTCCCGTTGTTCCAACATAGCCCTAACAACAAAATTAGAGGCATCACATGAAATCTCAAATGGGATCAACCAATTAGGACTCCTCAAAATAGGAGGGGAAACAAGCTTAGCCTTCAAAGCATCAAATGCATCTCCATAACTTGGAGAGAACTTAAATTTGACATCTTTTTGAAGTAATTGAGATAAGGGACGTGCAATCTTTGAAAAATCTTTAATAAATCTTCTATAAAAACTCATATGGCCAAGGAAAGACCTCAAGTCCTTGACATTAGTTGGATAGGGTAGAGATGAAATCACTTCAATTTTGGCCTTATCCACCTTAATGCCACGGCTTGAAACTAAGTGGCCCAAGACAATCCCTTGCTCAACCGTAAAATGGCACTTCTCAAAGTTCAAAACCAAGTTCTTCTCCACACATCTAGCAAGGACTTTATCAAGATTTTCAAGCAAGAAGAATAAGAATCCCTATGAATTGTGAAATCATCTATGAACACTTCCATGCAATTTTCAATAAAATCACTAAAAATACCAAACATGCATCTTTAAAAGGTCCCTGGAGCATTACACAATCCAAAAGGCATTCTTCTATATGCAAAGGTACCAAATGAGCAAGTGAAAGTGGTTTTATGTTGATCAACCTGATCAATGCAAATCTGAAAATAACCACTATATCCATCAAGAAAGCAATAATGAGATTTCCCCTTTAATCTTTCTAACATTTGATCAATAAATGAAAAAGAAAAATGATCTTTCTTGGTTGCCTCATTCAACCTCCTATAATCAATGCACACCCTCTAACTATTTTATACCTTAGTAGGAATCAACTAATTATGTTCATTCTTTACTACAGTAATTCTACTCTTCTTAGGCACAACTTGCACCGGAGATACCTATTCACTATCACTAATAGGATAGATTATACCTGCACTCAAAAGTTTGGTGACCTCCTTCTTTACCATACTAAGTATGAGAGGATTCAACCTCCTTTGTGGCTGCCTTATTGCCTTGGCATTTTCCTCCAACATGATCCAATATGTGCAAGTTTGAAGGCTAATTCCAGCAATGTCTCCAAGTGTCCATCCAATAGCTTCAATGTTTTTCTTTACTACATCACACAACAAAGACTCTTCCATAGGGGTTAGTGAAGAAGAAACAATAATAGGAAGTTGATGAGCATTTCTTAAGTAAGAATACTTAAGATGTGAAGGAAGTGGCTTCAACTCCAGGTTGGGTGGCTTAATGATGCTTGGAAGGATCTTTTGCACTTGAATTTGCCTTGCTAGATCCATGTCTTCCTCTTTAAGTAGCACGTCCAATGCTTTCACAGCTACTGTATGCATTTCATCCAGATTGACTTGCTTTGTTCTAACTTTGTGCCTTACATCTAGATCTGATTTCCTTACACCAAAATTAATTCCCATTTTGGTCAGATCTGATTTTAGACTTTCAGCACCAATTTACGCGCCCCTTAGATCATTAACAGCCCTAAAATCACTTTATTAATGCTTTTTAAGTGTCCCTAAACTTGAAACATCACAAGTAAAACACTCCTCTAACCTTGGAGAATGATTAGGCACAAAAGATCAAAGCTGTCAAAAATTTTAGAATTAAATTGACTAGAAGAAATCAAATGATGTGATTCAATATGACATATGAAAGATGAACTAGGGCCATCATTAGATGCAATTTCACTCTCATCACTTGATTCAATCACTAAATCAACAGAATTTCCAGAATTAATACTCAAATCATCAAACTCATATAATGCAAGCAAATCACTCAAGGAAGCATATGTTTGGTGATGTGAAGAACTAGACAATACAAGTGCTTCAAATGGAGTGCAAGTAGATGAGTTAGGCATGTCAAGTGTGCTGCCATTCAAATGCACATGCTCAAATGAATGCAATTCATCTTGATTTTTCAAATTAGACAAAATTAACAATATGTTATTACAATTCACACAAATAGAGTCATGAGTGCATAAACAAGTGAAACTAGACAAAGATGCAACATCATCCAAGCTAGGATGCATAGAAACCTCATCAATGATTCTATCAAGTGTATCATCAATACAATCTATAAAATGAAGGCTATAATCAACATAAGAGTTTTTCAAGCTATCAAATATATTAAATTCAATCTTGCTGTCTAAAAACTCTATGGTAAGTTTACCTTCCCTCATGTTCAATATGGCACTTGATGTCATCATAAAAGGTCTCTAAAGAATGAGTGTGCCTTGGCCTCCTTCTTGCATATCCAAGACATAAAAATCTGCTAGAAAAACCAAGTCCTTAACCTTCACTAAGATGTCTTCCAAGAATCCCTTGGGCTTCCTAGTGCTTCAGCCGGCTAGTTGTAAAATGACACTACAATCTTGAAGACCACCAAGATTAAGGGAAGAATAAATGTGAGTGGGCATCACATTGATGGCTGCCCCTAAGTCAATCAAGGCTTCTTGAACAAACACATTCCCTATTTGATAAGGAATGGTACATGCCCCCGGATCTCTACACTTTAGAGGGAATTATGGCTTGAAGACAGCACTAATATTAGGACTCATTTGAACTGTAGCCAATGGTTTGAATCCCCTTTTATTAGTGCACAACTCCTTTAAAAACTTTGCACACTTAGGTATATTTTTTATCATGTCAAGAAGTGGTATGTTCACTTCTACATTCTTCACCATATCAAACACATCATGCCTATCTTCTTCTTACCCCTTCTTAGCAAATCTAGTCAAGGCCTTAGGGAATGACCATATCCCTTGGAATAGGGTCCCCAATTTGATATTCTTTCAAAGGCTCTCTTCTTCCCAACACCTCTTTCTCCTTAGGCTTGCTTGAATCATTTTCATTTTCCTTAGAAAAAGGATGAATCGTGGCTGTTCTAGCACTATCTTAGCCTTGATTTGAGCTCAATTTGCCTCTTTTGCTTGAGCATTCAAGGCTGATCTTACCCCATTTGCATCCTCAACTACAATCTCTTTAATAGAGTCATCCTCATCATCAATCACTTGAGGACTTAGAGAAATAAGAGGCGTGTTCTTGAGGCTGTGTGAGGCACTTGGATGCACATTTAACTTGCTATCACAACAAGTGGAATCACGTGGATCATCAAGAGAAAGTAGACTTCCTTCACAAATTAGGGAATTCCTTGAGATAACCTCATTAGGCTTGCTGTTACCATGGTTTGAGGCACTTGAAATGGCTTCAAGAACTCTTCCACTCCTCAACTTAATTGCACTAAGGCTCTTTGGATTGATGACAGGTTGAGTTGGGAGCTTTCCACTTCCTTGAGCTTGGCTAATGCTATTTGAATTCCCAAATTGTTGCACCACCAAATCAGTGCTTTATTGTTTCGATTCAAGATTATCTAGCCTCTTAAGCATCATGTCCATTTTTGATTCTACCCCAGACACATGAGAATCAAACTTTTGGCCCATAGAAAACATAGCATCACTCATCCTCTCAAGGTAGGAATACATTTGTTTATCACTCTCACCATCTTGAATAGGGATCACTTGAGAATTCTTAGCTTGCACAACCTCTTGGTTACCCTTATAGCTAAAGTTAGGGTGTTACCTCCAAGTTGGGTTACAGGTGCTCCTATAGTTAACCTCAAAATTGTTCCTTGCCCCTTGATTATGTTGATAATTGTAGGGCCTTTGTTGTTAATGCACAGCCCCAACATCTTGAGCATGCATGCAATTAGAAGTGACATGCATTGTGGAATTGCATATACCACAAATAGGAGCCACTACAGCATTAGACATAGAAGCAATTTGAGCTTGTGGAGGATTGGAGATAGACATCTTTAGAAAATCCAATTGAGGGTAGGTATCCTCCAATTGGGAATTATCAATAGAAGATTGGCCCACTTGGTGAACACCCCTTGCATCTCTTGAGCTATATTGTTGGTTATTATTTGCAAGCTTTTCCAACAAGGTTCATGCATTATCCGATGGAA